CACTCCTAAGTATTTCATGCATTTTCTCTTTGTAAAGCAGACGCTGATTTATTTAACCCTTTTAGATAACCCTGTCAACGGCTATAGTAAATACATTATTCCGTTTAATATCCATGTCATCAAGAATGAAAATAATGACGATGACAATAAAAGCTATAAATTGATAACCATCTTCTATATTAAACTATTACTGAGCAGTCTCCTTAACAGCACATATAAATTCAAAGTTCATAAATTCTCAAATAACTTGTAACTGTTTTCAGACGTAATATTTTATTTCATTTTTTTTCCCAAAAAAATGTTTACATCCTTATTTATAGTTTCTTCCCTTTAAACAAGGGTACAGTATTATGTACAGCGTGTTCTGTTAACTTACTTTCTGTGTTGTGAGTTCGGACGTGCGGATTGCTGAAACTACTGAATTAATACGGACCTACAGGGCACGACAGTATATGTATTCTTGTCAATCATCTAAATTCTACTTTGTTAGGGTTAGAGCATATCACCGTTTTTCATCGTTCTTCAGTACCCCGGTATAATCATTTCAGGCCCAAAATGAAGGATCGCTTTCATCGTCACAGGAGCTCTAAAACTAGCGATTGTATCACAATCTTGAGATTGAAAAGGGGAGGTGGGAAAATATTGATAGAGACAAAATAATCTGCAAGATATGTAATAACAATATTATTGAAGATGAATTTCACTTTGTTTTACAATGCCCATATTATGCTGATTTAAGGAGCAAATATATTCCAAAATGTATTTACTTATATCCATCTATTCACAAGCTCTGTCAATTATTTTCAAATACAAAATATATTAATAATTTAGCAAAATCCGTCTACTTTGCGTTTGAAAAAAGAAACAAATGTATTATGTTACAATAAATTATGTTTAGTATTAGGGCCAACGGCCCATGTACTTGAATAAATTCCCTGAATAGGGAAAGAAAGAAAGTATCAGCAGAGAAGGGAAAGAGGCTGAAGCCCCGCCCGCCCCCTTTCTTCCACCACAACTACTTGTCGGACCATCATAATAGGGCCTATATGCACTTTTTTATTCGCCTAGGATAGTATAATTACAGGTGTAAATGGGAAATAAACATAAAAGTAGATATAATAAAAATGCACTCCAAGAAACGCCAAAGGTAAGACTAATATTAGGCCTATCGACGATTCTGCAATCGACAAAATCAACTTAGATTCGGGCGTCAAAACAAGTTATACAGCTTACTAATGACCCAAAACTTCCCAGTTTCTTCAGGGGGCCAGTCTCTAAACTCCACAAATGTTTTATCGGTAGACCCTGATATGGCTCGACAGACCAGCTGACCTTTGCTGAAAATTGTCAGACCCCACCTCCCCAGTAAATCCGAAAGCCACCACGGATGGTATCTGATCATTCCACAGTACTCATCCTAAAGACTATAAAATGTTAAAAAAAACATACACCGTAGTAAATTTATCTGAATTATGCAATTTGTGAGTTCACTTGATTAGTTTTATTGTGTTTGGCTTATTTAGTGAATGAAACCTAAGTAACTTTTACTTCCCATACGTTTCTAGCGTTTATTAATTAAGTAAAAAGCCCGTATGCAAAGGGTGCGCGTGCGATGGGTGGGTACGCACACCATACGATAAAAAGATCCACATTTTTAAGACCGTCAAAAATGTACTGAATATACAATTTGTTATTTTTTGTAATAAAAGGAAATCTTAAATCTTTTCTTTAAACCATAATCTAACGGAACAATACCCCAGATATCTGCGCATACTCTAGATCTGCGCATTAGTAAATAACAAAACACTGATTAATCGTTTGATATAATATAGAGTACTTGGGCTGCATTAATTTACTGTATTCATAAATATCTGAAAATATTGTTGCATATCATTGTATCCCCAAGAGATACTAGCAATCTTTTGATAATTACAGAATATTTATTATTTTTTTATGAGCTGCTAGATGTCCATTTTGATTTCTGAATTAATTATTGTATAATAAATAAAAACTGATAGGCCTACATTGGTAATAATTGTAAAATGATGTTAAGTTCCTCTTTACGTAAAATATATTCGATGATAGAGGGCAGTATATAATATTTGGAAACTAACTGATCGAACGAAAATTTAAATATATTTGCCGTGTTAAGTTGTTGACATAATAACTGCGATGCAGGCAAAGTGCACGCATTTCCAGAGACGCCCTCATCGACGTTGCGCAGGAGCAGAACGTGCAGTAAAGCCAGGCACTCACTGCGCACTATTCTATAGAGAACGCAACGCGACGACGAGTGCTACGGATCGTTTTTAATGACGATCCGTTCAGACTGCACCGACAATCAACAGACGGCGTTACGTCGTCTATCGCTCACAGAGAGCGAAGTTGGATTCGTGTGACGGTCGTACGACGCAGTAAGTGCCCGGCTTAAGGCGCGATTTTATGAAAAACGCAACTTGACGACAATCCGCTCAACAAATCCTTTTTTAACGACGATCTGAGACAGCCGCCGACAATCAATCAGCAGAGCAGAAGCAGACGTCTAGCGCTCACAGGAGAGGAGTTAGATTCGTCGTGCGACGTCGTACGACCGTCGTCGACGCAGTGTGAGTGCTCGGCTTTTAGTGAGGAGCAGAGACGATCTATGACGTGGCAGCTCACTTTCTAACAAGTGCACATATATTTTTGTCGCCTAAGTTTACCGGAATTAGGTAGTGAAATCTGTGTACTTGTCTAGAAAGATTATTATCATCACTATAATCCAAGGCCTATTTACTTTGGTGATTCATACTGCTAATCGTGAAAATGTAAAACAAAGAGTTTCTCACTCCTCATGCTAGGTGTATCAAAATCGCCGACATACATATTTTGAGAGGTGAATGACTTCTGCATGCAATGCTTGATGAATTATAAATTTTGAATAATAGTTATACGTTGTAGTTATACATACATATATATATATATATATATATATATATGACCAATCAGCATTCAATTATTACGTGTTCTGTGAGCGAGCGTACGTTTCGCGCAATGTTTCGAAATTCGTTTCTTGGCTACGGCAAATGCTCGCGCCTGGCTAATCCCGCTAGTCTGAACGCCCGGCAAAGTTAAGCTGGGCTAAAGCTACGTTCACATCAAGCCCGGATTCTGGTCCGTTCACATCAAATTCGTACGATTTTCACAATCCGGACAACGGATCTGGACTGATGGATCTGAGAGCCATTTGTATCCTGAAATCGTACGTTTTTTTTTTTCTTGGACCAATGAGCAAAAAGCTTGGTTGGTTCTAACCAATCGAACGCATACAACCATGTTCAAACGCAGCGTTCAAAAAACATAGCAACTCACAATTTTTGTCCGGGTTTCGGACCGGATCCGCGCTTGATGTGAACGTAGCTTTAACCTTGAGCCGGGCTCAACGTAAGCCTGACTTATCTCCAAGTCTGAACGTAGCCGATGATAAGTTTGCAAGTGTGCGTGCGATCGACCTAGGATAAGAACCATTCGAATATGCTGGATGGAACGCGTGCGTAGTATTTCAATGCCGTTAATTTGTTGTTTAACTTGAACCAAAGCTTGAACGTTTACAGGGCACTTGATCATTGAGGATTACAGATTACATAGCAATATCATAATAGGCCTACATACTGTCGAATAAAACGTACAACCGTACAAGCGCTAGACCTATCTCACTGGATTATAAACAGGCTACTCTTGGGGTAATTTCATGCAAAATGGCAAGCGATACAAAGGTTGGTTTCTGCGTAAAAAATGAAAGTGACATCTTGTAAGGTTTATATAATAAATAGGCCTATTATTAGGCCTAGGCCTACACAAGCCATAATCATTGCAAGATAGATACAGGTCCGTGGGATTGTCATGTAGCTTTTCCATATGGATTTAATAACGGTTATCTACACATTTTGCAGCTGTTCTGTTTCCAGCGATATGATTTTTTTTGTTCCAATAGTCAATCAAATACCAATAAGGACTTGTATTTATTGACATTTTTTTAATTTTTTTTTTTTTTTTTTTGTATTTCCAGTCAAATGGGCATCAACTACGTCGTGCCAATAGGCGTGTTTCTAATAAAAGTTGTCAGAAAATATTCGACTCGCAAGAAGAAAGATCAGCATCTCCGCTTGAAGTTCGGATCACGGATGACTCTGAAGATTTAGTTGACGAACTGACCGGAGATATGGATCATCTACTAGAATACGCCAAAGGGGCGATAGAGATCACCAAACTAGCTACTGGCTACCTCTATCGAATCTGTCAAGCAACAGAATCGCCGAGTTGTCAGGGCGTTGGACTGGAGAACGCACTTCTTGATATGCGCCAAGAATTGAAGCACGCCCTCGTCGATTGTGATCGCTCGTATAATAGATCAGAAAAAATTATGCTTGATTTTCGATCAATTTTGATAGAATTAAAAACAAATAAAGGGCAACTAGATACGATGTCCCTACCGAACTACACGGCATGCTACAATTTGTAGATTCAAAAGAAGAAAATGATAAAAATACATTTATTATTAGGCCTATCATGTACTTTCATTACACGATAACGGGCCTATTGTAAATTTATGAACAAAACCTTATACAAAAAAAAAAAAAAAAATAGCAAAAGATACCATGTTTTCAAATAACCACCACAGAAGTCTGTCAGAAACTTGGTAAATTTTATTATTTTTCTCATGTTTTTGTACCGTTGTAGTAGATCTACACTAATATTTTAAGAAATAACATTTTTTTTATCTACTGACACCCAAAATATTTAAGAGAATAAATGATAATTTTAATAGCAATTTATTTTGCACTTGCATTTTATATTTTATATTTTTATATATCTGCGATTTAAAATGTACGTATGAAAATGTGTTTACGGCAGGAATTGAACCCCCATCTCATACTGTCAATTATACCAAATCATCCAGCCAGTACCTCTTCATACCCCCCCCCCCCCCCCCCCCCCCCCCCCCGCACCCCCCCGTACCAGATATACCTGGTAGTTGCAGCGTTAAACTACAGTAAATAAACACGATACTCAGTGGTGCAGTCCTCAAATCTATAATTTGAGTTGAGACTTTCCTCGAGTCTTCTCTGTGGCCTTTACCACAGCCACATTTTGTCAGTTTTGCGTTGATGTGTGTCTAGTTAATACAATAATGTCTTCATGGTCTTGGCAGTGTGACGCTCGCTTTGATAGCGAGAGGTCACAGGTTCTAATTTCGCCAGAGACCAACTGGGCCACTAGGGCTCAGTTGTTAATTACAGCAGTTTAGAATCCAATTGTAACTGATATCGCACTCTTTTTTGTAAATTCATGAATTAATAACAGATCATTATGATCTGTATCTCATATGATAAATATATACAATATGTCTATATACATCCATGCACAAGTAGAAATATATTTTTAACTATTCGAATAGTCTCATCTGGTTTGCTTATAATTAAAGTGTAGAACTGTTCGATAGATAATACAGCAAAATACAACTACTTATACTTGGTTTATTTTCGATCAAACAGTTCTACATAGGCCTATTTAACTCTTTTTACTTTTAGTATAATATTTTATAACATGAATATTACAACATGCGATTAAATAAAAAAAGTATATACAGATGAAGTCACTGTATGTTATCTGTAAGATAAAAATTATTATGTTAAGTAATTTTTATCTTGGACTCGAGTGACTTGTCCTCAACAACTTTGCTCTTGTTCTGTACGTCATTCAGAAGAGACCATTTTACTCGTGGAAGCCCAAAATTTACACCTGTTCAGTCGAATACGAACAGCAATCAGAATATTGACTCAAATCTGCAGAGAAGAGACAGGCAATTATTACAAAAACACGCACCTGTCTCTTATACACATATATACACTTTATTATATACAAATGGAGACCGTTTCAGTCAATGCACACTTTGTGAGGTATTAACAAGAGTGAGTGGCAGAATCATTACAATCCGCCTACGCCTCCCCATCCTAGTTTTAGGAATTTTAAAAGTAGAAACTGCATAAAACTTACGATACTCCATGGTACTCCTATGGCAACAGCTTTCGACTCCCAGTCGGGCTTAGCGACACAACTCAACATAAATTTGGCCACATCGACGTTAGGAATAGAGCTACACGATTCTTTAACGTGGAACCGTTCCTGGGCAATCAACTCCTTTCCTAAAAGTAAGAATAAAGACACCCGAATTTATAAGATAGTATGTTTATTAAACTAAAATTCAATACGTTACATAATAAAAAAAAAAAATGGTAAAGTTCATGGTGCCAAGTTGTGATGATAAGATGGAAAACATTAACGAGTAAAATAAATAATTGTTATCAAAACTTTTTATTTTCAAAGAATAGGCCTACATATTTTGGAAAATACAAAACAGTTTTCGCAATTTTTTGCAGACCACCTGCGAACCCCTTTGGCTTTGCCAACCCCCAATTAGTTTTCGCCGACCCGGACAAATAAGGGGTCTGCGGACCACAGGGTTAGGAACCACTGGTATACTAAAACAACCGTCATATGAGACAAGTTACCTGACGTGCGATCTTTGACGACTCTCGGTGGCCTAACAATCGTGTAGGTGATGTCATGGCATTCCTTCATCAAGTATTCTTCCATGCACGTCATATTTTCCAAGAGTATCTTCAGAAAGAACGGTTTTAAAATATATTCCATAAGGAATGGACCCGGATCTTTAACATCAGCTAAAAAATAACGTGAACAAAATATATATTTAACGTATGCTTTCTGTTTAATTTGGTGGACTAACCCTGCTCTGGATTTTAGTTTCTGCAATTTCTTTCCCTTTTTACCGTTTTTCCTACCAGGACAATCGCTTCCCTGCGCGCAACGGATCGTTTTTAAAATGACAATCGTTCATACTGCCACCGACAATCAGCATATGGGGTCGCGTCGTCTAGCGCTCACAGGGAACGTATTTGGATTCGTCGTACGCTGCAGTGAGTGCCCAGTTTAAAACATACAAGATTTGGAGTAAACATTCAATACACTTACTTCCCGTACACCATGACGTCATCGTGACGAGTCGCTTCACACCCGCTTGCCTCATTGCGTTGACGATAACATTAATGGAATCGGTGTATAAAGTTATTTTGATGCATAATCCGGGATGAGTGTTAAGGCAGGAGATGACGGCGTCTTGACCAGGAAAGTGTGTGGCTAAAAAGTTTTCGGACAGAACGTTCCCTTTTAAAACCTGAAAGAGACAAATACACACAGAATAGCCCTCGTTTAGATTAGGCCTAATAAATTAAATAATAATAAATTTAATAAAATAAATAATTATAATAGGCCTAATGTCATTTTTTTAAGGTATCGATGTAATTTTATTTTATTTTTAGATGTTGAACTAATTAGATGGATAGCTATTGTTTTAATGGGTTTTTTTAATTATTTTTTTTTTAATTTATAAAGCTTCTAAACCCTAGCAATGTTTATGTTGTTTTTTTTTTTTTAATTATTGTTGTT